CCACAACTCGGAGCAGTAAAAAAACGATAAAAATTAGTATTTTGGAAGGAAGAGTTAAAAAATTAGTACTTAGTAGTTTTTTTAAAATTAAAGAGCAGGGTGGGTGGTGTCGCTTAACTTATGCAGTCCATCTGAAAGCGAGTGCCGCTAGTTGGAACACCTGATCGTTTTGGCGTCACGTGCCAAAATCACGTAACTTTTTTTTTACTATTTATCACTTATCCGTAATTTGAATTTCTCTTCATTGATAATAGAGTGCCCATTCCTAGGCCAAACCCTTTTCAATGATTTTCTTTTGGCAAATTTACTAGTTTACTGATTGTATAATTTCACTCGCATTATATCTTTCTTTCTCAGCGATTCAGTACGGTGTTGACGATCAGCAAAAAACTCTGTAGTTTTTCTCCGTTAGTTGGTTTCCTATAAAAAATATCTCCTTCAAGGCCACTCAAGATACCTTCTTCTAGAACTTTACGTGTTCTGCGTGATTCGCTTTTCTGTTTCTGTTGAGGTCGTGGTGCAGGGGTCGTTTCGTCATTTTCAGGACTCTGGGATATTATGCCCCAACCGCCAATTCATGGACTAGCACCCTTTTTTTTGTCTAACTTAAGTTTAGTTATTTTGGTTGGGTGCTACGTCTTCCATTTTTTTTATGGTATTTTGACCCTCAGCGTCAATAGAAACAGAAGAGAATCATGATCCTTTCTCCTCCAGCTGGTTGCATCTTGTTGTAGTTTTGAAAAAAAAAACCTGATGTGAACAGGTTTTTTTTTACTACCATAATTTTTGGCACGAGGCAAGCAGCCCTACCCAGTGACGTGCCCACTACTGGCCACTTTTTGACCAGAGTTGAGGACATCTCGGCCGCGCCTGACAAAGAAGACCTACAGATAAGTTTAATATTTAGGCGCAAAATATCTGTAAATACTTCGGGCGTATACCATGGTAGACGTTTCGCGGGGTTATCTCGAAAAATAATTTTGTCAGGTTGTATTTTAGATTTATAACATCCTTTCTTTTTTTTTATTACTCGCACTCGAGGAGTGGAGCACATGTGCGTTTTTTTATTAATCAATATATTTTGATTCATTTAATATCTTGTTACTTAAAATTCGTCATCTCTGTTAGATTCTCCTTTTGTGTGGTTGTCAAGCAAAACAAGTTCCAAATAAGGAGGAGTTGTGGCTTAATCCGTCCTAAGTCACTGGCGCTCTTAACCCCCCCCCCTATTCTCAGCTTGTTGAGCTGCGGCCTAAATTTGCACGCCACTAGCCAACTGTGTTTTGCCTGGCCCGACCGTTAGATAGTATTTATCATTGTGTTTTATTAATTAACCAAAAAAGGCGTGGCATTGGATGGCTCACTGCATTGTAAGGCATTGCAAAATAATGAGAAGAATGAGCATTTCAGGAAAAGTAAGTAAAAAGGATTAGACAAAAATATAATTTCGTGGACACGGCTCCTGAACCCTTCTAGAGCTTTTGCCTCGATACGCCAGTGAGGACAAGCCTTCCAGGTTATCTCTACTAGTTAAGTGACGACTTGTCATTCACCTACATTTTGCACCTATTGCAGGTGATACATTTGAATAAATTACACTGATCAACAGCCAAAAAATATTCTAAATAAAATCAACAAAATATTACTATTTTTAATGTGCTAAAACCGGAATGAAACTTATTTTTTCAATATTAGTTTTAGAGATACGGTAATTATATGTGTTCCTGCTGTGACAGTGTTAATATACTGTAATTCACAAGAATGCACGTGCTACATTTTATATTCGGCAAGGAAAGATGATGTAATCGGCATGATTGTGTTACGTTATACATACGTGTACATTATATTGTTTTATATTAGCCATTTTTTCCTCAGTTGGCTGACAGCGTTCATGCAAGATGTCTCGAAAGTGTGTAAACAATCCAGATCAGTTTTGTTACGTGTGTGGTGATGTGACTTTTGCGTCTCAGAGACGGTCTATTACTCCACTAATAACAAAGGCATATCAGCTTTATTTCGGTTGTAAACTAGGTGATCAAGACAAACAGTGGGCACCCCACATCTGCTGTAATACATGTGCTTCAAGTCTGAGGAGCTGGTTAAATGGCAAAAAACGGTCTATGCGCTTTGCTGTCCCAATGGTTTGGAGAGAGCCTACAAATAATATTAATGATTATTACTTTTGCATGGTACAAGCCACAGGTATGTCCAAGAAAAAAAAATCGGTTATTAACTACCCAAACATACCATCTGCGATGAGACCTATGCCTCACAGTGACGAAAATCCTATTCCAAAACCCCCAGAATCCTACACTTGCGAATCAGAAAACGAATCAGATCATGGAGATCGAGTGATTTGTCAGGAAGAAGATATTCCATCAACGTCAAGAAATCCTGATTTTATACCAAGCACGTCATGCCACCAACCGCACAAAATAACACAGTCAGAATTAGATGATCTTGTAAGAGATTTAGAACTTCCAAAATGTAAGGCAGAGTTACTTGGATCAAGACTGCAGCAGTGGAACTTGTTAGAAGACGATGTTTCGGTATGTGTTTTTCGTAAACGCCACAAAGACTTAGAACCATTTTTCAATATGGAGAATATCTTGGTTTTCTGCAGTAACATTAACGGCTTACTGGCGGCTTCAAATATAAACTATAACCCAGAAGAATGGAGACTGTTTATAGACAGTTCAACATTGAGTTTAAAGGCAGTGTTATTGCATATTGGAAATATTTTACCATCTCTTCCTGTAGGGTATGCAGTTCACATGAAAGAATCATATGACAATATGAAGTACCTATTGACGCATAAAATACGATGAGCACCAATGGCATATTTGTGGCGATTTGAAAGTTGTTGCACTTTTACTTGGGCTGCAGCTAGGCTACACAAAGTTTTGCTGTTTTTTGTGTGAATGGGACAGTCGGGCAAAGGCACTTCATTACACCAGACAAAACTGGCCTGTTCGTCAATTCCTAGAGCCAGGTCAAAAAAATGTACAGCATATGCCATTAGTAGATTCGAAAAAAAATTTATTACCACCACTGCATATCAAGTTGGGCCTAATGAAAAACTTTGTCAAGGTATTAGATAGGGATGGGTCAGCTTTTCAATACCTGCGTCAGAAATTTCCAAGACTAAATGAGGCAAAGGTTAAAGAAGGTATTTTTGTTGGGCCACAGATTCGAAATATTTTGAAAGATACACAGTTTGAAAACACTTTAACAGGTATTGAAAAAACTGCTTGGAATGATTTCCGTCTGATGGTCACTAATTTCTTGGGAAATAGAAAAGCTGACAACTATGAAACCCTTGTCAAAAATATGCTGTCATCGTATCAAAAGATGGGCTGTAATATGTCTCTTAATATACATTTCCTACACTCACACCTGGACTTTTTTCCTGACAATTGTGGAGCCGTAAGTGATGAGCACAGCGAACGTTTTCATCAGGATATTTCAACAATGGAAAAAGGTACCAGGGAAAGTGGAATCCTTCCATGCTTGCAGACTACTGTTGGACTCTTGGTACAGATGCTCCAGAAACGATCCATAAAAGAACAGCAAAAAGACAGCGCATATAGTGATTCTTATAAGTATATGAATCTTGTTACTTTTTTTTAATATATCCTTAAAAATAAAAAGTTTATTTTCTAAACCGCAACTAATTTTTTATATCATTGTCATTTTTGGATTCAGCGCCCAAAATTAACAAAGAAGTGCACTTTTCCCACAAGATACAATTAAAAAACTAAAATTTGTTGTCCAGTGTTATTTAAAAAAATCTCTTTTGAATGATAGGCAGCCTGTAGGGGTCCATCAGTCCTACCTTAGTCCTCGCTAGGTTATGCTCAATATCGTAATATTCCAAGCTAAATAAAATTTAAAAGCTAAACCGACTGTCTATCTGATATCATTTTTCCAGGTACGTTAACCTTCACCTTTAAGAGGAAAATGGAATTGGTACGTAATTCGATTGAGAAGTCATTTCGAAGCGGGCTTTAATCTGTTCGGTTACTCAATCCGGCTTAGATCTCTGAAGCTAAAATCACTGTCGGTCAAGGGCGTATTTAATTTTTATCGCAGGAATGAACGATTAGTTGATAAAACTAAATTACTACGTTTCCACAGAATCTAATTTTCACGTTTTGGCCGATGAACAATGATCGTGAAAAAATTCAAAAATGAGACATTGTGTTTTTTGGATGTTATATGACATGCACAATGTACATCAAGAAGAACTAGTGAACTCATTTATGTCGGTCTGTCTGTCTGTCCGCTATAATTTGGACAGTACCGGTCGGATTTTCCACACAAGGTTACTAAGGACGAAAAAGCCTTGTAGTTTTTGAATATCGATTTAGTAGCGGCGGAGCTATAGGCAAGAAACGGAAAATCAAAAACCGCACAAACCTATGCATAAGATTTACCTATGAGTCTCCAGCAACACCAGGAACCATAGACAGGCGATATCCTTTACCTGCGGAGGGTCCGATCCAAATTCAGCAACGCCCCAGTCATAATGATACCAGCATGTACGAAAGTTGACTAAAGCCTTGTCCAGGAAGGGCGAATTCGCCGCGAAACGTTTAGCGCGAAATCATTCGCGCGTTAGTGAGATACTTGACATCAATACCACAAGCATCGCGCGAATTCAAAATACGCGCGTAAATCGCGTGCACTACGCCAGACTCGACTTGCGCGTATTGCGCGCGAGTCGAGATACTAGGGAACGCCTTGTTGCGTCCAGTTAACGCACGAACTCTAGAGCGAGTGCACGTATCGAGGGAAATGGAGCGCCAAAATTTTGACACGGAATTGCTTATAGACGAAATAGAAAAAAGACCGGCGATATGGGATTTGGAATCACCTGATTATGCCAACAGGATTTTAAAACGTAGGCCTTGGGAAGAACTGGTGTCAGTATTTTCTGATAAAGATGACTCCGAGGAAAAAAAGAAAGATTTAGGTACGTAATTATTATTAATTTATTGATTAGTAACAAACAAAGAAAATTAGATCATTTTTGCTTGCCACGGCAGTCGACCTTCCTTCATGAAATAATCAGCGAATATATCCGTCGTGTTTCGAGACCTTACACCAGGTCGAATTGTAGTCGTACTCAGACCATCTAGAGCTGTTTCGAACAATGTGTCTTCGTATCTGTATCCATCTCTTAACCTGACGTAATTGTGAAGAACACAACAAGCTTTAATTATGTTTTCTGCAAATTCAATATGCACATTGAGTGGTTTGTGAAATATTCTCCATTTGTTTACCAGGATTCCAAAACAACACTCAATATAACGTCTTGCTCTAGAGAGGCGGTAATTAAATATTCGTTTTTCTTTGGTTAAATTCTTGCCGCAATATGGTCGCAAAATATGTTCTGATAAGCTAAATGCCTCATCTCCAACTATAACATGAGGTAAACGTGTTGTACGAATTTCTGAGACTGGTTTTGGTCCCGGAATGTTCAAAGATTTTTCTGTGAGTTTTTTGAAGAATGTGGAGTTTTTAAAAATCGTTGAATCATTGCTCTTCCCACATGCTCCAACATCTATAGAGATAAAACAATAATTTGCATCACATACGGCAAGCAGCACCGTCGAAAAAAAATGTTTATAATGGTAGAACATAGAGCCGGAATCTATAATATAATAAATATATAATAAATTATAATTCTAATATGTTTCCCATCAACTGCTCCAATGCAATTAGGAAAATGTGTATATTTTTCGAATCCTCTTGCAATTTCCATCCACTCTTCTGTCGAAGGTTCTTTCATTACTATATCTTTTAACTTATTCCAAATAACATACACAGTTTTTTGAACGATGTCAATTACAGTTGATTTTCCTAATCTATAGGCATAATGTAAGTCAGCAAAATAACAGCCAGTTGCTAAGTACCTGAAACAAAATTGAAAATTATTGTGAAATTGTTAATTTCAGGTAATACTCTTCAAAAAAAGTGGAAAGGCCTTCGCGACACATTTGTTCGTGAAATGAAAAAAACAAAGAATGCACCATCAGGCTCTGGAGCTTCGAAGATTCAATATATATATTTTCAACGTCTTATGTTTCTCGAAAGGTCAGTAAAAAAAACAGAAAGCAATATTCAAGACACCTCAGAAAATTCAGAGACAGGTAACGAAGAGTCTACAGCAGATGCAAGGGAAGACATAATGAGGCCGCCGAATCAAAATATTAAAAGAAAGAAAATGACTGCCGCTGATGCTGAATTCCTGAACATAATTAACAAAAATCTAAGCTCTAGGAATCAACAACAGCCACTGCTTTCCAGCGTAATGGAAGGTGATGATGCCAAACTGTTCTGCTTATCTTTACACAAAGAATTACTTAAGGTACCTGAGGCCAATCGTATAGCAGTAAAAATTGTGTTAATGAAAATTTTGCAAGCGGCTCAACAATCTTCGCAATCAACTGTGTATTCAAACAATTCGTATTCGTACTTTTCTAACAGTTCGGCTTCATCTTCAACTTCAATTCCGGTTCGATACCATGCACAACCTACAAGACCAAATGAATTTACTTTTCAAGAATACGACCCAGAAACGCCACCCGTAACAACTTGGCAAGGCCGCAATTCTAATTCATTGCCAGGATCCTCACAGGCAGCATTATACGTAAATTCTCCATCAACATCATCAAGAGATTCTCAGGATAGTGAATGTCTTAACCTCTTCCAAAACCATGACATTGTTTAATTATTATATTTAATCTCATACTACATTTAGTTCGTTTTTATTAGTAAGAATATTTTTTTATTTTAAAAGACTGTGTTAGTAATATAAGAGATTATGAATAAAACACTACTTACCTTAAAGTTATCACGAGTTTCTGTTCTGGTGAAACAACATCCTCGCGCGGAACATAATTTGCACGTGGCAATAAATCTTCTCCAATTAATAAGAGTAAATCATCAAACGATTTCACGGACATACGAAAGTAGTTAAAAAATTTCTTCTCATGTTGTCTTAATTTTGGATACAAAGTTTCAAACATACTATGGGTCATTCTATCATGAAGAATTGGATGTACTAAATACTTCTATTTTCCCTCCGTTTCTGTCTCTTCCAGCGACGGTAAGCGAGACCGCTTCGTTCAACTCCATGTTTCGTACTGAATTCCTCCCTGAATGCTTGCGCGTTGGTACGCATGTGTGGACGCAACGGTAGCGCGAAACACGCGCGACAGAATCGCGGCGAATTCGCCCTTCCTGGACAAGGCCTAAGATGCTATAACATACTGCAATTCCATTTTTTATCCATAATGCCATCTATTCTATGTAAATGTCCCATCCCAAACCCCGAAAAGCACCCCAAACCATAACAGACCCGCCTTTTCTGGGTGACTGCCGTTTTTAGTGCACTCACCCTGGGATCCTCGCTAAGATTCATCCGTCCACGTTTGAATTCTTCATACCAACGGGAAATTTTCGACTGATGTGGCGCTTCGTTGACGACAACAGACCAGTAACTCAGCAAGGCATTCTTGTTGCGATAATTGTCTCTGAAAGTTGTAATAAATTATGGCGCGAAAATGTTCTCGGTTGTGTTCCATTTTTCTAATGACTTGGTGACACTTAAAATTCACTGTAGTGAAAACACTGCACGTATTGTGTGTTAAACTTTGAATTTAAGTTTACTAAAGAGTGAGGTTAAGATTCAGTACTGACGTTCGATCCGCGCGGGCCTACGATGTTTCTATATGCAAAACTTAAAAGACATCCTTCGTATGCAGGGCATCTGAAATCAAGTGCCGTACTTAAAAAAACCTGAGCGTTTAGGAGGGTTAATTGCATTGTAATATATTCCAAATAATTAGAAAAAAAGGGGCACTTCAGGAAAACAAATAAAAAAAAAACCGAGTTGACGAACATACAATCCCTATCCCCTACAGAGCTTTTTCTTGGATACACCATTGGGGCAGACTTCTAGGTTACCTCTACCAGCTGAGACACAACTTGTCATTTACCTACACTTTGGAACTGAATAGACTATAGGCCGCCTATAGGGGTCCACCAGCCCTACCTTACGAAAGTCTAGGTCTAGGTTATGGTGTAATTTTCCAGCTTAATAAAATTTAAAAAGCTCTACCGACTGTCTATCTAATATTATCATTTTTCCAGGTAAGTTCACCTTCACCTTTAAGAGGAAAATTGAATTGGTAAGTATTCGATTGAGAAGTCATTTCGAAGTGGGCTTTAATCTGTTCGGTTACTCAATCCGGCCTAGATCTCTGAAGCTAAAATCATTGTCCGTCATGCAAGGGCTTTTTTAATTTTTATCGCAGGAATGGACGATTAGTTGATAAAATTGATTACTACGTTTGCACAGAATTTAATTTTACGAAGAATGATCGCGAAAAAATTCAAAGTTGACTTAGATACTATACATATTGCAATTCCATTTTTTTTTAATCACATACTATTTTCCACATATACATTGTTCTCCACGGTCGTATACCAACGAACAACTTTTTTATATAAGAATAAAAATTGCAAAAGTTGACCTAGATACTTTATATGCTGCATATTCAAAGTTCGTTTTGCCCAGAACTGCATAGGAAGTACAGAGTCGATCTACTTGACGCCATTTGTTTTTGTTTTCACGTCACTCTCCAAGTTTGGTACAGCAGTAATTTAGTCGGCAAAAAGATTCGTAGCATTAGATCGACAAACAGGGAATAATGACATACGTTTTCCTTACAAAAATATACATTACGCATCTCAAATTAGAAATCTTTTTCGATTACAATACTTCATTTCATTCGAGTTCGAGTCACCAGATCTACAAAAGGTACGAGCTCAAATATCCTTTATTCTCAGAAGTATACCTGGAACCGCCCGCGATAATTAAATTTCTGTCCGGATACCGATCCATACTCCCTAAAAAGTACCCTTGAACAGGATATCAAATGTCATTGAAATCCTTTTTAAGATTCACGGAACTGAAAACCGAATGCCACAATTTTGATAGCTATAAAGGGGAATTTTCTGTGCGGTATAAAGCTGAAGGCGTGTTTAGGCACTATGACGTAAATATCTTTTGTGCTGTGTATTGGGTGGGTGGACAAATATACTCAGTGCCTGGAGGTGTTACACACAGAAAAAGTAGTTTTCTTCAATTTGATGATGTAGTTTTACATCAAGAATGAAACGATAACATTCTCACGAATTTTATTGACAATAACAAAAAAAAATAATAAAGTAGATTAGATGTGGCAGAGTCTGTGGTGGATGGTACAAAGTGGATGTCATCACATTATGCCATTCTGTCGCCTAATGTTGCCGTTCTCTGCTCCAGTTCAAACGTTGACGACAGTGGTCCGCAGTCAGAGCAAGCACTAACCGTGGACGGTATGAAAAAAGTCCAAAGGCTCGAATTCGGCGATAGAGTGTACGTATAGTAACAGGGTCTACCTTCTTCTTCGAACCATTGGTTAGCGGTCTGACGCTTAGTAGCAAAACGGTCTCGCAGGACCAGTTGTCCTTTTTCGTGTTCCTCTACCTTCTTCTACTATCCACACACGACACACACGAGTTACCGTCGTTCCAGTACGTTAATTGTACTGTTACCAGTATCGCGATAGGTCAAACCAATAATTCCAATCCTGTCAAAGTTGTTAAGCTAATGAAAGACAAATAACTAAAAATATCTGTACCACTCAGCTGTTAGAAACTGCTTTCTTCACAAAAACTAAGAAATAACATTTTAACTCAAGTAAACAGAAAAACAAGTTGAGGAAATTGTTTTTCTGGGCGTAACATTTCTAATGTCCACCGAGTATATGTTGGTGAAGAGAAAGATGAAACAAGCAGGGTCAAACCTTGAAACAATAGCGAGATTTATATCATAAGTCCTTTATATATGTATATAAGAAGCGAAGAGAAAACAACAGTTATTCAACTAAGGAAAACCTTTAGCTGTTTTTGTGGGTATATATTATTTTACCTCGAAAGGAAGGCTCAATAATGCCAGACATTTTTTTTATATCGTAGACCAGTGCTAGCAAAACGATAAAAAAGAAGGCAACTCGATATTGTTTGTTAAAATTAAAGCCAATGAATTTCGTGCCAAAACTTTTAGGACGTATGTTGTGAGAGAAACCCAGCGGAGCAGAAAACGTTTTCACTTCAAGACTTAATCACTACGTCCTCTTACTCATGTTTAGTCGTATACAAAACGCCATTAAATAAAACCATTCTTCTGAGTGTTACATTTTATTTGTCAATGAGTATAAAAAAGATAAAACATATACGGTCAAACATTTCAGACACGACTAAGGACCAGCTATAGGGTAAGAATAAGCCCTTAACATAAAAATCATTTATGCCAGATTGTACAACTACAGGCCTATAGCTCTGCTTTCTGTTATAAGTAAGAGTGGAGTCGTTAGCTTCTGGAGTACCTCGAACGTCATGGCTTGTTTAGCGACACTAGGCATTATGATTTCCGGCACCAGCGATCTACAGGGGACTACCAAGCTTACGTCACGCAATTGTGAAGTAAACTCATCCAGTCTTATGGTGAGGCTCATGTCGTTGCTCTTGATATCACGAAAGCGTTCGATCAGCTGCCCTTTTATGCAAACTTCTATCATAGGCCTCCCAGAGAAGAATTGCAGATGGTGGCCGATTTTCTCTCTGGCCGCAAAATAATCATCGTAATTGACGGGTTCTCTTCTTCGACTCACAACGGCAACGTGGGTGTTTCCTAGGGACCGATCTTTGCTCATATCAACGACCTTGCCCGTGCGTTCCAATCCACAGTTTTGGTTTTGACAGCACTTTACATGCAGGAACTCAGAGTGACAAGCCAATATTTGCCGGTGAGATGGAGAAAAGAAGACTATCAGCGACCTCCACTCTGGCGAGAGACCTGGATGTTATCTCTGCTTGGAAACGCAACAATCTTGTACAGTGTAATGCTTTCGGCTGGTCGGAGTCCAGATCACCTAGGAATTGATATGCCCCGAACGCGTCAATAGTGGCAACTGCTGGGAAAAAGCTAGGGGCTAAGTACTCCACATGAGCTCCTCACTCTGTACAAGGCCCATATAAGACCTAGCCTTGAGTACTTCTCACATGTTAAGCGTTATACGACATACACGTACATGCAAATTACTTTCCCGTACGGTTTGTGCCGTATTCTTTTAGTCGATGGGAACTGAACGAACCACGAATACGACAAAAAGGACAATTCACCTCAATGACGCGCATACCTTGTTTAAAAATGCAAGACTTCGATTTAGAGATAGATTACGCAATAGAAGATGCTACGCGACTAACCGACGTCACGCGGACGCTAAAAGCTTACAGAATATTATTTTATCGTGTAACTTGCGTCAATGCCGTCGATCAGAAGTGGGATTAATCGAAACACCGCTCCGCTTTCTAATTGGGTTCTACAGAAGAAAAAAAAACGTCCAACCAGGAAATTATACAGTGTTTACCGTCATAGGGATAGTCATTAAATGCGCTGGCTTGAGGGGATAAAAAATGGTCTGTCCTAAATCAACATTCATTATGTAGTGGATAGGCTTTCACAAAACGCAAATCAATTTCATCGTGGGTTTATTTGCAAATGAGATCATGTTCCGCTGGAAATATTTTGATATACTAAATGACATAGAAAATGCAACACCGACTAGGAGTGCTGTAATTTTAAACATACTTTTACAAGTTTTATGTATACTCATAAATAGAAATTGATTAAATTTCTGTACCTCAGAGCCAGACTAGGCTAAGTCCAAATAAGTAGTTGTGATTGTATTTCAAATATTTTTCTTGCATTGTATTGTATGGGACTTGACATGAGTTAAAAAGTCGGAACTTCCTTGTTATTACAGAGAGATGGACGCTACATGTAGCAAATGAAAACTCACAATATTATCGTAAGCTTACATGTTAACCTCATTTTTGACAAAATGGACTTAACCTAGTCTGGCTCTGGGGTACAGATTTTAACTCGAAATTTCGCAAAATAGCTGAGAATAAAAATAGCATTGATTGGATTAGGTGATTGTTGTCCTTGTGTATTGTACCCAGGCCATCTGAATTTGATTTCGTACAGCCTCCAATGTTTGTGGAGGGTGCGGTGAATTC